CGAGGCGAAGCTGAGGCGGTCGTTGCGGGAGAAGAGTTACGAGGCGAGCAGCCGAGAAATGCTGAGTCATATGGCGGAGGAAGGGACGGTGCCGCGAAGAATTCCACGCGAGTACGAGTGTTCGATGGGGTGGGGAAACAGGGGGACGAGTCAGGGTAGCGCTCACGTGGGCCAACCGTGTCACGCTTCTCACGCCGCCGCCAGACGATGGAACGAGCAGCAACAGTTCTGCAGGTCGGCGTCCGCGCGCCTACCGAGGACCAGGCACCCGACCACCTTGGACCCCGACGACGACGATTACGAACGATCGTCCGAGCAGGACTCGCGGGATGGTGAACGAAAGATACAACAGGTTGGTTACATTCGTCGTGTTTTCGATATCGTGTGACGATGTTTTCGCACGTTTTTTATCTCTTTTGTATCTCGACGGTATCCTTTCGCGTCTTATATTTGATCGATGTCTATCACTTGTAGAAACTTGTATACATATTTTGTGAACTTAAACGCGTTTTTAAAAGTTTTGTTAAGGGATCAAGAAGAATTTATCTTCTTGTATGTTAAGAAGTAAAGTGTTTTTTTGGCCTAGCTTTTTCGCGCGTTTGTCGAGTCGCGTTGTTTGGCTCCCATTAAGACGACCTTGAATTAACGGTTATGAGTTAACGTTATTGCGCTTGGTTTTCTATTTATCGTTCTAAGAATTTTACGAAATATCAAGTCGAAAGTAAAGTTTTTATATAATCGTATATTTTACGTATACGTTTCTTCGTTCGTTATTCTCTAAAATTATAGTTTATATTTTTAAAATTGCACGCAATTTCAAAAGTACGTTTACTTTATTACATTGTGAAAAAGAAACTCTTTCCACTTTTATTTCCACAAAATAACCACGAAATCGAAAGTGGAACGAGCCAACAAAAAATTCCCGAATATTATTAAAGCAGAATCAATGGAACAAAATTTATCGATCGAGCGGAAAACCGTATCGAGATTCCAGTCGGCCGGATGTCGCGTTACGAATACTTTCTGGAAGGCGAGCACGCCTCGTAAATGGGGATGACTAATAAATCGGTTTTCCATGGCGTAATCGTGCAACCAGCGTGTCGGCTGGTTGACGGACAGGACAATTCGTAGCCGCACTAGTGAGATGATTCATGCGAAAGGTGCAACCTGCACGCTACCTGCATCTATGTCACGTCCCGTGATTCTGCTTTCACCGCGACTCCGTTTCATCCTCGTCATCGTCGCGTTCCTCGCGCCCTTCCACGAACGCGAAACGTTACTTCGCCGCGCGTGGAATTTCAATCACTCCTCCTTCTTTCTTTTCCTCGATCATGGGACTCGTGGAGAACTCTAGTTCCTTCACGATTCTTCGATCGTGCAACGTATCCGTGATACAATTGTCCGAATACCACGTGCCACCAATTTTAAATTTATTCCCCATTTTTTCCTTCGAGCGATTATTTTCGATTATGGTTCGAGCAACCATATAAATCGTGTCAATACAATTTTCGAGATCATATAAATAGAAAAAACGAAATGTCTATAAATAACTCGACCGATATTTTTTCTTTCGACTTTAAAATCAATCCTTTCAAAAAATAATATTTATATAACAATTTTCGTAAAATTATCGATCTTTCGAAAAATACCAACTGCCAAGCTATAACACGATCTATTTTCAATTTCCACTCCAAACATCTTGATTCCTACGAACCATTCCAACCCTCGTCGAAAAGAAAATCTTACGGTAATTATAAACGTCTCTCTCTCTCTCTCTCTCTCTCTCT